GGAAAAATTATGTGAAAGAAAAAAAAAATGGAAACAAAGTCTATGTAAATAGGGAAGGGTGGTGGGGGTGAAGGATGCATAGGTAATGGGGAAAAAAATAAGAACTAAGATACATTATGTTCAGGTACAAACACCCAATGATAGATGTAAATGTATACCTAAAATGTACCAATTAATATACAAATAAAAATTTAAAAAAGAAGTAGGGCCAGGGATTTAGCTCAGTAGCACTGTACCTGCTTGGCAACTGCAAGGTCCTGAGTTCAATCCCCAGTACCAAAAAAGAAAAAAAAGAGAAGTAGCCAGGCATTGTGGCACACACCTGTAATCCCAGCACTTGGGAGGCTGAGGCAGTAGGATCACAAAGTCAACCCAGCCTGGGCAATTTAGCAACTTTGGGAGATTCTATCTTAAAATAAAAAGGGTTGGGGATATAGTTCAGTGTGAAGTTTCTGGATTCAATCCCCAGTACTGTGAGAGGAAAAAAATGTCTGTCTTGGAGAGGGAAAGGTGAGGGAGACTCCCTGTGTCCTTAAACTCTCTACTGTGCAGGGCTTCTGAATAGGGGCTTTATCAAATCTTTATTGTAAAGTTTAATAATTTGGTTTATAAGTGTTACAGAAGCAAATTACTAATGGTTAAAATGTCTACGTTTTTTTCCTTTCCTTTGGTTTTATGAGCCAAGGTCTCGCTATATTGTTCAGGCTGGCCTTGAACTAACTCACTATGAAGCCCAGGCTGGTCTTGAGCGTGCAGCAATCCTCCTGCCTCAGTCTTCTTAGTGTGGGGATTACAGTCCCATTCAGACTATTAAATTTAATCCTATAAATACTTCATCTTAATCCTTTAAAACAGAGCATTCTTCTATATGACTACAGTACAGTGACCAAAAGTAGAACATTAATATTAAGTGTATTTCTGTCTTTTATATATTTCTACAGTTGTTGCAGTTATGCCATTACAGCTTTTTGCTCCTTAAGATCCATTCGACGATTATGGATTGCATAATGCATTGCATTTAGTTTTCATGTTTTTTAAATCTGGAACAATTCCCTAGCCATTGCATTTTTAAAGAATATAGACCAGTTACTTTGGAGTGTCCCACAATCTGGATTTGTCTAGTTATTACCACATTAGAGTCACATAGAGCTTTTTGACAGGAATGCTGTAAAGACACAGAATCAGGATGCCTACCATCCTTGTCCCATCCTTGATGATAAAAAATTGGGTCACTTAGTTAAGGCAGGGTTTGCCAAACCACTCTACAGGTTCCACTCTACAGGTACCTTTTCTTGTTATACTTCATAAGTAATCTGTGTTTTTGAGAGACTGAGAAAGGAAATATCCTGCTCTAGCATTCTTTTACCCCAACAGTGTTTTAGATTATTGAATCTTTTTTAATGCAGTGCTTGGGATCAAACCCAGGGCCTCCCACAGTCTGGGAGAACCTTTTAGAGCTTTCAGTGGTACAGACAGCCCTCTGCGGCATACATGCCATAAGTTCACCACCACTGGCTTAGGGAGATGCTCTACCCTTGACCCACACCCCTAGCCTGATCCATTGAATTCTTTCCAGAATCAGTTTTACTTTGATGATTGTAGTTGTGGAGTATTACATTGTTTTTACAAAAATTTCACTTT